TGTGCCTTGGAAGTATACAAATATAAAAGTAATGTAACGTGATTACTTACCGTTATTTTTGGATTACCCCAATATCAAATGCTGAAGTGTCTTAAGTAAGAAGACAGAACACTGTGTCCTTTAAGAGGCCCTGTTCTGCTTTTTATGTGTTCTCTTTCCTGTATAGTGTGTTATATAGGTTAAAATACTGTTCTCTCCCCCCCCCCCCCGGCCTGAAATGCCTCCATTGGATTGTATATCCTCTCGTTTCCCCGCTTTGTATCTCACTGTTAATACCTATTCAACAATTTCACATATTTTGGATTCATTGTTGTTGAATCCTTTTGAATTTGTGTAATGTCTTTTGCTGGAAAACTGAAATTAGCAGTAATCTGATTACACTTACTTTTATGGATCAGTAAAGGAATACAGTAACTTTTTTGTGTGTCCCGATTAAGTAATCCCATTACATGTAATTCATTACTCCCTAAGCCAGCCTTCCTGGGATGTTACTGAGTGACTTTCAGCAACATTTGACAAACACCACAGTTCGCACTGCGGCAATTTACAAAACTCACATAATATTCCGGATTCTGATGCTGTGATTATCTCCGCATGATGCCAACTCACCAGCTGCCCACGTACTCATCGATATGGAGGTCTAACATTTAGCTGGAGAGAGTCATGGAGAGAGAGTGGGTTTCAGTACGGATGTCTGCGCTGCAACGTGCACACACCGGCCTTCAGATGTTCAGAGCTTTGATGAGATGAATAAAACGCCCTTTGACTGGGTGAACCTAGTCACAAAATATTGTTACGCATGTTCTGTCTTTTTATCTAGTTTCTTGAGTGCTTGGCATTCCAGTGTTACTTTTGTGTCCAGTTATGAATGCTTTTTGGCAGTTTCTGTTGCATGCAATGATGTAACACCATATAGTGTATCAAGTATTGAGTTTGTTTCCGACCAAAGCAATGGTCGATGAAAAAAAGACTCAAAAGCAGGAGACTTATAAACATGTATGTACTATTTTTCACCTCAAAACTACCCATAAAAATCCTCAGCTTTAATCTTTACTTTGGTTCAAAGTTGAATAGGAGGTATATACAAATTCCCCCCGTGTACAGTTGACATAAAAAGGGAAAATTAGCAATAGACACCAAAACCTTTTCTTCTACCAGGCTGTAAACATTGTTCTTTCAAATGTTGATATGGTTTATTGATATTGGCCACCCAATTACCTTAATTTGAAGGCTTCACTAATCAGGTGGATGTTTGGGAATGGTTTATAGACGTCTGGTAATTCATTTATTTCCATCTCAAAACCCCTAGACTGTTGACATTTTCAAACTTGTAGTCTTCATCCCCAAACAACGCTGATTTAAGTAGCATCACATTGAGGCTTTTCATCATAATCACCAGCTTCCTCTGAAACCATAAAGGCGTTCTACAACTGTTTCCACATATGCAGTAGTATCCCTGAGACTTGTAAGCAGACTTTGAAGTGTTCCCCTTTAATGGAGTAAGCACAACGCAGTAAACCCTGAGATTTCTGTTAAAATGTCTTGATTTATTGGAGCATGTCAACAATGTGGCTCGGGTTCTTGTAGTTTGGACAGCTTGGTCAAAGGTCACCCGGATGGACCGTGACTGCAGGTTTTTACATTTGTTACAGACGCGAGGAATTAAGTTTTAACTCAGAGTGAGATAATGTGACTTTTCAAAGATGAAATAACTACTCTTCTTCCTCTTACAAGTAAAAAAGCACACATGATAAGCAATAAAACACATCCTCCCTTACAGAGGTACTGCAGCTACCTGCTAAAGCATGGAAACATGTCACAGAGGAACAAAATACGTCTTCTTTGTGTCGATAAATTCAAGGGTTTGCTGATAAAGGGTTTCTCGGCCCGGTTGATAGCTATTGTTGTTTAACTGATAAAACTAAGTAAACTCCTTCCGGTTCCTTCGACAAAAACGCAATGCATTTTAGAAAATAGCTCGAAATAAGTTCTGTAGTTGACACACATTTAAGAGACGGATCACGTTTTGTTCAGCCGGATAATATCCACATGTCAACCCTACTTTTCGAATCATAAATCTAGTCGCCAGAAGCAAAATGCTAACGTTATGCTATAACGAACTACAGGGTCGCTGCTTCAACGTCACGCCAACTTAAGATCCAAATTCACTCACTCCCACAACCCATCAGAGACTGCACCGACCTCACCACCTTCAAAAAACTCACAAAAACTCACCTCTTCAATCTGGCTTTTAATGTGTGATTGTTTTTGTATTATTTGACTTCAACTTTAACTATATATTTATTTGTTGTTCCTTTCTTCTCTTTTCTTTTCTCTTCACTATTATCTGTAAAGGGTCTTTGAGCACCTGTAAAAGCGCTAACAAATTAAATCTATTATTATTATTATTATATTCAAAACTACAGATTCAAAATTGTACAAGTTCAAGCGTTTGTTTTTAACAGTTTGCAGGAGGCAAGTACTTGCTTTCAAGCAGAACACGGGGGAAAACAAACGTGTTCGGCGTAATGATGTACAACCTCGACAACTTCTGTAGTCCTATTCAGCCACATGTTAACAACCATCGTTTTTCAGAAACGTAAACTCTTCACAAATCACCAGTGGGGTCACTGCTGATGTATTTAATGTCGTAGAACAAAACGTGATCCGTCTCTTAAATGTATCTCAACCACAGACCTTATTTCCAGCTATTTTCCAAAATCCTATGGAGAAATTGCATAGCTTTTTGGCGAAGGAACCGGAAGTGGAAAAATGCTAACTTACTTCCGGGTTTTAGGACGCTGTGGCACTCTACATGCCTTGGTATTAAAAATGTGTTCCTTATTGTCCTTTGTAACAAGTGAATTGTGTCAACCTGCTTATAAAAGAAGCATTTCCATCAAACTATCTACAAAGATTGGCTAAAATGTAATTATACAGGCAATCTAATCTTAATTTAATCGAATCTTTGATTGAATTTATCAATTTCCTTTGGTGCTAAAACACAACACTTCTGTTTAAAATCCTCTTGAATTTTTCACCCAAGTTGCTCTTTTAACTGAGTTTCACCAAGGAGGTCTCTTTGGATGACCAATCTGAGGGGTTCATGTATTATATTTTAATTAATAAACGGATTCGGCGAGTATTGAACCATTAACGGGGCTTCAGAGAAAAGTACAATAGACTATTGGAAAGAAGTGTAGTATAACTCTTACTTTCGGAATTAAACGGTATAACTAATGGTCGACTTTTTCTCCTTTAGATGGAATTTTTGAGTCGGGACGGTTTACACTCTCACGTTCTTTCTATACCTCAGAAAAAAGTCGACTTATAATTATGAAACGATAACGGTGCGTGGAACCTAAATAAATATGCAATATACAGATAAGAAAAAATCCAGTCAACAAGGGGAGGAACGAAAGCAACGTACTCCGCCGACACCACTCGAACAGGAAGTCTAACGAATCAGAATATCCATCTCAAAACCGTCCGAAAATACTTAATACTCCCTCTCATTTCACATGA